TTAAATAGCAGATTATAATCCTTAATAGTAATAGAATAATGGATTAGAACTACTATTAATATAAAAGCAGGAATTATAAAACCCGCTATTATATAGGCTAGAGATTTCAGAATGCCTTTCTTTTAAGAGACTTTAATTATAATATTAATACTATAGCTTCTAATATATCCCGATTTCTTTAAAATTATAATATTAATATTCTCTGGAATTATAATATCTATACTAATAAGGAGTTTTATTACTAGGTTATTAGTAAGGTATACTTCTCTTATAATCTTGGCCAAAACCTCCTTACCAGATTTAGTATCTATATTAGGGAAAAACATATCTAGTATTATATATTCCTATAACTAAACCTTGCTTCTAATTCCTCTAATTAGTAAAGGCTTTAATATAATCCGAAGCGGGATATCGGGTTAATTAGTTAATAACTATTTTTAATTAATTAAGGTTATTAAATATCCTATATCTATATATACTTTATATATTATACCCTTAATAGAAAACTTGAATATTATAGTTATAAAGTACTAGTTTCTGAATCCGAATCCAGTTCCGATATCTGACTTCGAATTTATAGCAGATTTAATAACTGGAATTATAGTAAGAGCTAAACTAATTTCTGGTTTCTTTATTACTAGTAACTTTTTAGTAGTTTCTTTAGTATTAGATTTAACTATAGCCTGATTTCTTGCCAATTTCAGAATTCCTGAATACTTGCAATTATCTTTATAAATATAGTTATATAATTAATTATTACTTAAGAATAATTTCTTATATTTCTTATATATAACTTCCTTTTTAACTTTACTTAAAAAGGCGAAATTTACGGTAGTAAAGTTTCCGACCGGTTTATTATTAAAATTCTCTTTATTATAATTATATATATAATCGTTTTTATAATTCTCCTTACTAAAGTTTATAGGTAGTTCAATAGATTTACTATAAAATGAATTACTACTTTCTAGTTCCTGGAATTCCTTCTTACTAATCTCGGTATTAAAATAAATATACTATTAGTAAGAAAAGTACTAATAATTTATAGCTATAGGCAGGGAGCTAGTAAAGCCTTTTAGGCTTCTTACTATAGGTTAGAAATCTGATTTTAGGGATAATTAGTATAGCTCTATTATTAGAAACCTCGATTTATTCCAGTTTGGAATTCTCTATAACCTTAATTTTCGAAATTACTATAGTTATAATAACTTTAGTAATTTTGGAATTACTAAGAATACTAGAAAGATCCTGACTACTGAGAATTATTTTAATATATAGTTTAAGGAAACTGATTCTGAGAATACTAAAAGTTCTAGAAATAGAGACCGAAATATAAAGAGCTATAGCTAGTAAATTAAAGCTATTTACTTTTCGAGAAGTATTAACTACTAGTATTTATTTCTTCTATTATATTTTCGAAGAGTATTAATTTAGAATCTACCTCTTTAACTATTTTTCCTTAGCTATTAATTCTATAAGTACTAATATATTTACTTAGATAGAAAGCTCTAGTATATTATAGGCTACTATTAACTAAAAGAAATCGGATTTTATACTAGCTATCTTAGTATATTGGAATACAGTTTATATAAAGCTATATATAGATTCTTCTTTCTAAAGATTAGCTAGGCCAAATTAAGTCTTTCTTATATATTTTATTATACTACTTATAGATTCCTTAAATTGCTTTATAAGTATACTATAGATCTTATTAACTAAAGTATTAGTTAAGAGGTCTTATTTCAAATTGGAAAGCTTATATATATATTATATAATTCCTTTATTATAAAGCTATAAAGTCCAGTTTTCTTGAACTACTTAATTGCTTTTCTTATTTATAATTTCCCGAATTCTATTTATAAAAATATAGATATTAGTATAAATCATAAGCTTTCTAATACTAATAATTCCTGAACTATTAATTTTAATATCCTTTAGATCCGGGTTAAAAACTCTTATATCCTCGAAGTAAATATAGTTATTTTGGCTTTAATTCTACTAGGGTTCCTATTATAAAATAGTAGTAGCATTATTTTACTAAAGCTAGAAAATAATATTTATAATTATTAAAGTAATAGCTTACTAATTATTAGTAAGATTTCCCGGGCCAGGATTATCTAATTATTTCTGCCTCTGCCTCTATTTATATTTCCTATACTATAACTATTTATACTTATAGTTTCTATAAGCCTCTTAATTAGATTTATAGGAATCTCGGATGGGTTCCCTATATAAGATACCGGGTTCTTAATTAGCAGGATTCCTATTAGAGTATTAGAGGTACTTACTAAAGTAAAGCCTAAAGAGGATCTCTAATTTAATAGTCTATTAAATCCTGATTTACTAGAATCTAAAGGCACAGGTTTAATATTAAATAGGTATTCGAATTTGCGAATAGTAGCTCGGAATATAACTCTTATATAGACCCAGGCTTTTAAGAATTATATTACTTTTAGAGAAAAGCTTTTAGATTTAGCTCGGGTTTAATAATATAGGAGTAAAGAGTCTCTTTTAATTTCTTCTCTGATTTATTTAATTACTATAAAGGTTTCTGATAAGATATAGTTTATAAAGTCATAATTAGTTTTATAGAAGGCTCTGAGTTATATAGCTAATTTAGTAGTTCCTGTTTATTATAATATACGGATTAGGGCCTTTTAGATATTAAGAGGTAATATTAGATTCCCTGCAGGTTGGGAAACTAATTAAACCCGGTAGAATTCGATTCTAGAGATAGTAGAATAATAAAAAACGAGGGTTAGTAATAGTTGAATTATATTAAGGTAAAATATATATAGTAGTAATTTATTAAGTAATTCGGTTATATAATAGAAGTTTGAGATCTAGTTTTAGATCAAATCCTGGTATTTATAAATTATAAACTAGTTGCCTAAAAGCTAGTTATTTTCTTTATTAATAGAATTAATCTAGAAAACTGGTTTTATAGGTATTACTATTAAACTACTAGATATACTAGAATCTTATATATATTATAAAGCTTAATATATTCTCTCTAGTAAGAAGTTACTATCTGAATCTAGCTAAGTAAGATACTATATTATAATTCCCATTACTAATTCTCATTACTAATTCCCTAGTATAATTCTTTTACTTTTAATACTATTTTTTTAAAGTAAATAAAGTAACTTTTATTATTAAGGTATATACTAATTCCTAATTTATTATATTACTTTTTCTTTTATTATTACTATTACTATTACTATTATTATTATTATTATTATTATTATCTTATTTCTATATAATTCGGAAACATATAACTATATATATCTACTATTACTTATATTACCTAATTAATTCTAGTTATATAATAGCCTTCTCTATACTTCTTTCTTTCTATAAACCTGCCAAGCCCTCGTTTATTTAGTAACTAGGAACCAAGAAACTATTCTAACTAGCCAATTAACTATTCTAGTACTTATACTTATTTAATATTATTTCTTATTAAATTTTCTATTAAAATTAATATACTACTATATTCTAGTAGTATTCTCAAGTTCTCTATAATAAGACTATATACTTAATAGTAATACAAGACTTAATAATAGCTATATATGGCCTAAAATACCTGGTTTTATCCGGCCAAATATATCGGACTAAAAATACTATTAATTTATTTATAATTATTACTATTATATATAATTCGTTCTCTAGTAGTATTAATATATATATCTGGCCTTATTATTTCCTAATTAGGAAGTAAATATATTAATTTTCGAATTAGAACTGCCCGGCTAGAATATATATATAAAGTACTACTCTATATACTACCTTGATTTTATTTCTTTACTTATTCTAAAACTAGGAATAAAACCTAATATTTATATTTCTTTCGGGATATTCTTATTACCAGGTCTTACTAAGGGTATTAAAACCTAGAAGAGTCTATTAGTTAGTAATTACATATACCGGTACTAGTTTCCCTTATTAGTACTAGCTTAGTTAGCTAGATATTTAAATTCCTTTAATACGATTATTCTTATACTTTAGATATCTTAATAATAGTTATCTCTATTCTCAAATTTGGCTACTTTACTTTATATAATATCCCTAGTAATATAATAGTTATTATAATTAGATTAGTTAATATTATTTTCGGACTAGGGATAGTCGGGGCAAGATATTAACTGCCATGCCTATAGCCTTTGCTTAACTTCAGAGAGATAGCAAGGGATATTAATAGAAGAGAGTAATAGAGGATAACTGGACTTTATAAGCTAAGATCTGCTATACCTATAAAGAGACAGATATATTTATAGGAATAGAGGATAAGAGAAGATTAGGTATTGAGATCGGAGAGTACTAAGGCCTGCTCTACTTATATAAGAAAAGGATATCGAGAAAGAATAGAGAGTTATTCAGGTAATAGCTATAATAATAAGGATAAGGCCCTCTATATTTGGCTGCCTCTAATAATGCTCGCTTAATTTTGGTATTCTAATACCCAAGAATAGCAATATAACTATCCCGGATTCGGGAATTAAAATACTACTACCTTAACTAAAAAAGTAATTTAATACTATTAGATTCGAATATATAACCTCTATTTATAAATTATTTTTTATTTATTCTATGCATTTTTGCTTATATAACTACTCTATTATAGACGTCTAATATAGTAATTAAAGAAGGTATAAGAGACTATATAAGGTATTAATAGTTAATTAGATAGCCATTATAATAGCTAATTGTCGTGAGATTTTTAGCTGCTATATTAAGTTAAGGAGGAGTTATACTAGAGTGTAAACTTTAGTTACTTTGGGAGATTTAAGTAAACCCCGGTAAGGCAGAATTTCATCGGCATCGGCACCCGAACCATTAGCCAAAGGAATAAAAGACATAACGCTGGCGTTTGATGGGAACAGAGTCTGGCCCTCACCGCCGCAGCATCAAAGCGCTTACATCTTTTATTATTGAGCCAATCACAATGTGTACTTTTCTCACAAACTTTGCTCAAATAACAACTCATTGGTTGTTCTAAATGGGTGCGCTTCCGCTCGCCGTAGCCAATGACCACCCATAAAATTCCCGGATAATGGTTAGTCATAGAGAAGAAAACGCCTTATTCCAAGCTGACACTTTATTCACGCTGCGCGTATACGGCCCCAACTTTAAGGCAGTCGAGCCTTCGCAACTTCCATCATTCCAACTTATCTACACTCTTGGAAGGACTGAACCCCAAATCTCGAGCAGTTCTCCGCAGTCATGGACGTCACTCAATCCTCCACTCCTCCCGTCCCTCACTCATGCGAGTTCTGCAGTCGATTAGTACTCGCCACTGGAGATGAGCATTGGTGGGAGAAGCAGCTGGAGCCTGTTTCTGAAGATAGTGAAGGGGAGAAAGCCCTCAGCAAACGTGTTAGGGATTGGATTTGCGAGCAGCTGGAAATTGGATCCCGAAAGTGGGCTGGAGATGCTGGTACAGATCACGCGGCTCACGCGAAGTACGATACTTCTAAGGCGGCCGATGGATTCGACGTGTCCGACAGACCCGGTCAAGAGTTTCCACGATTGGAAGTGTTGCGTTCGCTTTCAGGAATATATATTCTCGACTGTACCCTATCAGAGGCGAGACTTAATTCTTCCAAGGAATGCCTCTTTTGCTCTTATTTCTTGAAAGATTGGCGACACCATGAAGAAGAAAGCACAAGCCCAGATGGCTTTATCGTAGCAACGGGGAACAGGTCTGGACTTGATGAAAAGTGTGAACTTAGGCCAGGAATTCTCGAGCGGGGAATATTGGGATTAGAATTTACTAAAGATGACCCAAGTCGCCACCATTTCTTCTTCAAATTTAAACCCAAGTCTCATCGCGGATTTCTGAAACTTTTCGCCGCTGCAGGTTAGTAAGACTGGTTCCCTGGTTTTGCATCTGACATATGTCGTAAATTCACTGACTAGCATTATCCCAGACAATTGTGCAGCCCTTGAAGTTCCGAACAGATATATCAATATCCACCCAGGATCGGAGAGTTCTTTTGCTATAGCTAAGACATGGCTACGAAACTGTTTAGAAACACATCCAAATTGCTCATTACCCCGGCTCAACTTTGTTCCAACCCGGCTTATTGAAATCTTCTATACACAAGGTCGGCTGCAGCTTCGACTTCGAGAGACTAAAGATCAGGCAGTACCTTATGTGGCGTTAAGTTATTGTTGGGGCGGAGATCAACTCGTTCAGACTACCTCCAATACACTCCAGAGATATCTCGCGGGCATCAGTTTTGAAGAACTTCCACCAACTATAAGGGATGCAGTAACAGTCACAGAAAAGCTCCAAGTTATGAACCTCTGGATAGACGCATTCTGCGTCATTCAAGATGATCTAGAAGATAAGGCGCGGGAAATTGCTCAAATGCCTCTAGTATATGGTCAATCGGTTTTTACCATTGCAGCAAGTCGAGCCAGCGGTGTAGAAGCTGGATTTCTACAAGACAGAGCATCGATAGAGTGTCAGACCCCCAGACCTGCACTAATACAATATCAGTGCAGCACAGGCCAGATAGGATCAGTTCTTGTTTTTTTGGGCTATTCTACAGATTATGAAATTATTGAACCATTGGACTTCCGTGCTTGGGCATTACAAGAACGATTTCTGTCACGCCGCGTTCTCGACTACGGTGAGACTCAAACGCGATGGGTATGCCAGCACAGTGACGTTCGACAGGAGGCTGGTTCTACTGGATTGAGCTTTACGGATGGATATAAAGAGGAAGCCGTAATCAATGAAGTGAGATTCGATTGGGTTTTCCCAAAGGCTAAAGCTCTCCTATCAAATAAATCTTTGGACAGTACCGATCAGAGGAATATCAGAAAAGCTCTTGATCTTTGGCGGCTTGTCGTCTCGGCCTATACTGCTCGCACCCTCACTTTTGGGTTTGATCGCCTCCCCGCAATATCTGGTATTGCAGCACAATTTGGAAAAGTCATTGGATCTGAGTATAAAGCCGGAACGTGGGACCCAGAGACGATGCCTACTGAATTGCTTTGGGCCAACTATTCAGGGAACCTCCAACCACGTCCTGTGAAGTACCAAGGCCCATCATGGTCCTGGGCCGCTATCAATTCCCCGATCAGTTGTATAGATGATGATACCGAGGCAGCTATGTGGCTGGACGATTGCTTCCAGGTTCTGGATTGCAGGGTTAATCATCAGTCCATGAGGAAAGCTCAGAGCCCGCTATTTGGCGCTGTTGATAGTGGGTATTTAGTACTCAAAGGCAGGTTACGGCCAGCAGAGCTCACGCGACTTCCCGACAATGACCGTGGACAGGTCATCAAGAGATCAAAATCTGAATATTCTACTGCGAAGGTATATTTGGATGCACTGGAGGAGGAATTTTCAAACTCCGTTACCAATTCTATTCCCGTCTTTCTCTTGAAGATGACTGCTCCTGATAATTTCGAATCACGGATAACGGTGCATTATGGTTTTATCTTTAGAGAAAGGCCCGACTCGAATTTCTCGAGGCTGGGAGTATTTAACATTAACGTCGAGGCGTGGCGGCTGTATGACTTGGATGAGCACCGCAGAACTCAAGAAGATTTAGAATGGCTTCATAGCGCCCCTGTACAAACAATTACAGTGGTATAGAAAATATGGCGAGAGAGATACTGTTTAAACCGTAAGTTATAATGTTTGCCGCCCTGCCCTCACATGAAGCCCATTCAAATAATCCGTTCAGCTGCTGCAAGAGTTGCCTCAAGCGCCCTGAACTATAATTTATTACCACATCAATATTTGTTTCGGCATATCTTACCCAGATTTTTCGGATATTAAACTCTATAAATATTTAACAAAAGAAATCTGTAACATTTGAAAAGGTACTTCGAGTAAATATAAAAGGATAAATGAGATAAACGGGGATCGATATACTGATTTAAGGGCGAGATGTCAGTAATTCTTTCTCACTCTATTAAGAACACCTCTCGAGCCATCTGTTACTGCTACTAGCAATGAATTAGCAATGACTTAGGGAACTGCTGAGCTCGCGGAAAGTGCCGGGAATCTAGCAGTTTCGAATAATATATCTTAAATAATAATCGGAAATAATAAACTTTCTTATAGCTAACTAATTATCTTAATAATACTTCTGCTTTATTTATATATAGAATATTATTTCTTACTTTGAAATATATTTAAATATTTTCTAATTATTTAATTAGAAATAAAAAGAATTATATTAATAACATTATTAATATTCTTATTATAAAAGCTCTTAAACTAATTTACCTTTATAACTTTAATAAGTTTTTTATTTAATTATAAAATATTATAATAGAATCTTTTTAATATATTATAAATAAAGTATTAAATATTAAATTTCCGTTTTTTAAGAAAGTATTTATTTCAAGTTTTTAAGAATAATTTAGGTTCTTTAATTATTATTATTATAACTCAATGAAAATAAAGTATAATTAGCAAAAACAAAACCCTTTCTCGGCTCAGCCTCGGCTCAGCCAGCTCACCTGAGCAGTCCCCATACTGAGGCCATTAGCGGGCTAGCAGACAAATCCGAGAAGCGAAAAGTGATTTTCTGATTTTCTGATTTTTGCGCCCATACCCAAAAAAAAAAGTATAGTATACACGCCTTATTCTCGACTACTTCTAACCCCCCCTTAGCTTGCGTGGTCTGTAAGGCAAATCCTATGGATTACGAGGCATATCTCTATCTCCCTTACTCTCTATATCCTCCGTACTGCCTATATTACTCGAATTATCTATATCTTCTTCGTTCTTTTCTCCTCTAGTATTCTCACCCTCTTCTGCTATAATCTTCTTTCCTATTATCTTCTGATCTTATATCTGTCTTTATACTCGCTTTCTATATTTTATAGGCGGTCGAGGCTTTGGTATAAAGGGTTTTGCAGATATAAAGCAAGGCTTTCTAGACTTAGTAGGATTAGTATTAAGTTAATAGAAAGTATAGACTTTACTATTATTATTATATCTATAATTTATATAAGTACTATTAAATTCGCTTTCTATAATTATATAGTATTTAAAAGGGCCCCTCGGTCTCTTCTTATTACTATAAGTAGTATAAACTTGAGAGGATTTGGTTTCGCAAGTATATACTAAGCTTGCCTCTAGATTTGCCTTGCCTTTTCCTAATTCCTTTAGCTTCCTGCCCTGGTATAGCTTTATCTCTCTAATTTTAGCCTTATTATTAATTTGCTTTACTACTTTAGTAGTATTATTAGATAGTATAAGAAGATTAAAGTATTATTATAGAAGAGAAGGAGGAGGTTATATATAAGGAGAAGATTAAGAAGTAAAGGGGTTTATTAATTAAACATATTAATAGGAGAGGATATTATAAACTGAGTCTGGATTATTAGAGGGCATATTATAAATATTATCTTTCTACTTATTTATAGCTTTATTGCCTTTTCTATTACTTTTGCCTTTACTAGAGCCGCTATCTAAAGCCATATTTAATATGTCTTTAATAAAGGAAAGCTTTAATAATAGTATTATATATTAGAATTAAAGTTATTTTTAGAAGGAGGTTAAGGTTAAGGTTAAGGCTAAGATTAAAGCTAGTATAGCTATATTTTTATTATTTACTTTTAGGATATAAAGATATATATTTAATATAATTATTTAAATCCGAATAAATTTATAATAAATAATACCTGAAAATGGAAATATTAGTATTTAATAGCCCTAGATTAAATATATTTAAATATTAAAAAAATTATAATTTTAGATATTATAGTTATAAAAATAAAGATATAAATATTCTTTCTTTTACTAATTCGCAAAAGCTAAGGTATACTAATAATAATTAAACTATATTTAATTCATATAGTTAGCTAATTTACTTTACTAATTATAAATAATTCGAGATAATTTAAATCTCCTTAAATCTCTATATATAGCTTATTATATAAACTTCTATATCTCTATATTTAGTAATACTATAATTATAATTTTTAGATAAGAAGAATTCTCTTATTCTAGTATATATAATTATATTTATTTCTTATTTTTTTAAATATATAGTTATTAAATTAGAGAGGCTCAAGAATTCTAAGTAATACTTTCTCCTGAGAAATATATATCCTTAATAAATAGCAAAAGTAAATATAGAATTATATAATAATATAACTATCTTATACTAATAACTTTATTTTCTATAAAACTATAATTCTATTCTATTTTTACTCTAAAACTTCTATTCTTTTTCTATATTTTTTCGACTTTGCTATTAATACCAAGAGCTTCTGCCCTCTACTAATACCTTCTCTATTAATACCTTTATTAATACCTTTATTAATACTAAGAGCTGGTATCTAATTGCCTTATAACCTTCCTTTCCTTTTCCGAACTCCTCCTTACCCCTTCTCCGAATCCCTTTTCCTTACCCCTCCTCCTTTAATACTTCTTCTATTAATATTAAGAGCTGGCATCTAATTACTTTATAACCTTCTTTTCCTCCTCTGAACCCCTCTAAACCCCTTTTCTAAATCCCTCCTCTAAACCCCTCCTCTTTTAATACTTCTACTAATAATACCAAAAGCTAGTACCTGACTACTACTTCCGGGTTACTTTTATTTAGAACTCCTATATTATAAGTCTTTAATCTACTTATTTCTTAGAAAGCTAAATTTTAGATCCCTCCTCTTTTTCTCTAATATCTCCTTCTCTTCTTTTCTAATATCTCTTATACTTTTGGGCCCTTTAGGAATATCCTCTTTTAAACTTCTAAAAAAGAGGCTAATTCCTATTTAGATTCCTCCGAACTTTAATACCTCCTCCTCTCCTTTAATACTTATAAAAGCCTTTGGGCTACTACTAAGTACTCCTATTCTTTATCTTGGAATATATACTAATTTATTCTTATAAGAAATAGCTCTTCTCTCTCTGATCTCGATTTCTTTAATATATACTTTTTGCCTTTGGGCTATTTAGATGTCTTTTTATTTGCTTTTACGGAATATATACTAACTTACTTTTTAGTTTCTCTTACTTTACTTCTTCTTTAATATTACTATATATATGCCTAGTTAGTACTAGTTCTTATAACTTATAGTTGGGCTTTCTATTTATTAAATACCCGGGTATTTTGTTTTACTTTTATTTTATATATTTTATTTTATATATTTTATTTTCCTTTTATTATAGGTTAGAATTCAAATAGTATTTACCTTAAATACTTATATTCTCGGATATATAAGACTTCTATAGATCTTTCGGGATTATAAACTAGTTTATTTTGGTTCGGGAAAGCTTTCTCGAAAATATTTCAGGAGTTATAGTATTTACTATAACCCTTTCCAAAGATTAATATAGTATAAGTATTTCTGGTCTATTCTCTTTCTATAAAATAAACCGCTATTCTAAGTTTATATAAAAGTCCTAATTATTTCTTGAGTTAAAGTATAGGTACTTCTTATTCCTATTAAATTAGATATAAAGAATAATAGGCGCCTTCAGGCTAGACTATAATACTAGTTAAGTACTAAGACTTCCTATATTTATCTTATAAACTTATAGTTTAAGATATATTATATTTAATAAGGCTTCTATATCTAATTACTTTATACTATAGTAAAATGTCTTAGTATTATAGTTAGGAGAGTTCTGTTTTATAATCTTATTTACTACTTATAGATTTTCTAGCTAATAAGTCTTAGCTAATAGCTAAGAAACTTATTAGCTATTTTATCTAAAGCCTCTGGAAGCGGGAAATTGCCTTAATAAAGACTTAGTATTAAAAATAGATTTAACTAATTAATCTAAATAAGGAGTTTATAGCAGGAGTCTCTATATATAGATAATTTCATATAATGAACTCAAGTTCCTGTCTCTAGTTATATAAGTATGTAATGTGTACAGGGTCGTATGTGACTTAAGGGCATATAACGAACCTCGGATATCGCGGGTATTAATTAGGGAGTTCGGTAGCCCTTTAATATCCTAACTAATTACTATTTATATTATATATATTAGGCTTATAAATCACTAATTATATATATGCCATCGGGGCCTCCTATTTAGAGGGGGCTTCCCTGGACCTTATAGGAGGGACAGAGATTAGTTCTATACTGAATTTAATACTATAGTTT